TAAAGCAACAGCTTTGTAAATGATGATGATGATGATGATAACATTCAAATAAATAACATTTCCTTGTTTTATTTAAAATTTTTTTTTTTTTAAACTTAAATAAATTTAATTTAACAAACTAATCTAAAATTATACATTTTGTGATAACATTTTTTATATAATTATTTATCTAATTAAATTTAATCGTTATATATTTAATTTAAAAAAAAAAAAATTCTAATTTGATAATTTATTATTAAATTAAATATAAAAAATTTATGTGTGTGTGTGCATGGTTATTAACAAACTAGTAAACTTTGAAGCCTGCTAAATAGTAACACTCCCACAATTGCACTACTAAAGCCTCTCCCACAGTTAAATGGGGAAGCTCAAGGACAAAAAAATTCGGTTTTTTTTTCTCTTTGTTTGAAATTCATTTAACATATTTAGACTAAAGGCACCATTGTTCTATTGAATGGATTTTTAATTTAACAATGACATCTCTGTTGTACCCTTTTTTTAATGTTCTCTAATCCTTTTAGGAAAGTTTTAACATAAAAAAAAAAAAAAATATCCATAAACAAGTTCAATGTACTATTAACATTTTTCTTTTGCATTTAAAAGTCAATTTTTTTTTCTTCTCCTTCTTCTTCTTCTTCTTCTTCTAAAGTCTAAAGAATTTTAACTAATAATAATAATAATGAATATTTTTTTACTTATTATAATAATATATATATATATATATATAACAATAATTATATTATTAAATTTTTGATTTTTTTTTTCATAAATTATGCGGTTATTTATTATTATTATTTCCCCCCCCCCCATTTTATTGTATTAAAACCCTTTTTTAATCGGGGAATGATTATATTGAAAATAATAATAATAATAATAATAATAATTTTTAAAAATCAATTGTTTTAAAAAAAATCTCTTGTAATTGAAATATAAATTCAAAAAATAAAATTTAAATAAATTAACATTAAAAAAAAATAATTATTGAATCGAATCAATAAAAAACATTAATTTAATTCCTTTTAAAGCAAAACTATTTAAAAAAAATATATTAATATTAATATTAAAAAAAATATATATTTATATATAATAGAAAATTAACTAACTAACAATTGCAAAGAAGGGGCAATGCAGAATAAGGTGAATGCCCGGGCAATAAGAACCTGGATTTCTTCAAGACATTATTACCTGAACTAGGTTTGATGGACTCAAACACATTTGAAGCTACTTTTATGATTTTTTAAGGAAAATTTAGTAAATGGTTTTAGTTATTTCTCTTTCTTTTTTTAAAGTAAAAAACATGGCTGTTGATTGAAACTTAAAAAATTTTGTGTTAACAAATTTGAAAAAAAAAATTATTAAGTATTTTGTTAATAAAAAAAAAAATATGTAACAAATAATTATTAATTATGATTCGTTATTTAAAAATCTTTAATATGCGTGGGTGTTATATTATTATAAATACATAGAATAAAAAAAAAAAAAAAAGATAAACAAAATTTTTAAATAAAGGTTAAATTAGTGAAAGTTTATATTTATTTATTTATTAAAAGATTACCTAAATTTGATTACAATTTTTAATGTAAATATTTCACAATACAACCTAAATCAATGTATTACGAAAAAAATAAAATAAATAAATAAATATAAATTGCGAGGGAAATTTAATAATAATAATAATAATAAAGTAATTTTATGTAGCAAATAATTTTTTTTTTTTTTTTTTTTACATCCTAATGCACCTTCATACGTAATTCTTTTTTTTTACATTACATTGTAAAGAAAAATTTTTATTGTTTATTATTATTATTATTTTTACACAGTCATTTAGTTGGAAAAAAAAAATTTTTTTTTTTTTTTTTACTAAACGATTCTATCTAGTATGTGAGTTTTGTGTGATGGCATAACATTATTTTTATTATGGTACAAAACCAAGGTAAGAGCACGTAATTCAGAAGTTCACTGGTCTACTGGAATGGAATACCTGATATTTCATACCTGTCGTTTTTTTTTTCATTTTATTTTATTTTACTGTCATCATCATTTTTTTTCCGTCGGTAAAAAATATAATTTATTGAAAATATTTTTTTTTTCTCTCGTTCGGTTAATTGGATTTATTATTATTATTATTATTATTACTTTTTTTTTTTAAAAATTGTTTAATATAAATTAATTATTATTTCATTTTTATTAATTTTTTTTTTCATTTTATAAAAATACAAAAAAAAAAAATCACGAATTTTTATTTTTTAAATAAAACGCACGATATCTATATTAAAATAATAATAAATTTTAACCGTTAAAATTATTATTATTATTTTTTTTTAATATATTCAATTCTATATAAATTTTATTATTCTTACTTTGCTGAAAATCTTTTATATGAATTAAATTGATAGCCATCATTAAAAATTTTGTTATGGTTTATAGTATTCAATTTTTTTTTTTTTACTCATTTCGATTTAAAATATATATATTATAATATTAATTTTTTTTTCTGTTTGAAAATTATACTGATGTAAAAATATATAAATATAATATACATATACAAATATACAATATACAATATACAACAAAATTTTTTTTTTTATTAGTAATCAAATTACTATTGATTATTCAAAGCCGGTAATTTTTAACAGACAGTTTTACATAGACTTTTTGTTAATTACAATAATTTAATTGAAAAAAAAATTTAAATTTAAATTTAAATTATCTCAATCGTAGAGCTTATTAAAGAAAAAAAAATGTAGGCATGGTTCGTTTATTAACGATACAAAATTTTTTTTTAGTTTTTCTAGCCATGTATTTTACTAAAATTTTAGTATGATTGGTCAGGGACGCCAGCTAATAAACAAATTGGTATAAATCGTTTTAAAAAAATTTTTTTTTTGTTTTTTACATTCACATTTTTATTTGGACTCACGCACGTCACGAAATAAATTTTCTGCTTTAGTCTATATTTTAGGTACAAATCAATATTATAAAAAATTTTTATCCCAATATGCAAATCATGAATGTGCTTATTTATTATTTTCTTATTTGAACTTTACAATAATATAAACAAAACTTATTTTAATAAAAACAAATTCTTCATACATAATAATTATTTAAATAATTACATTTAAAAAAAATTACAAATTCGACACATAAATAATAAATTTTTTTTTTAAATTTAATTCGCCATTTTGTATATGTTAACAGTTTCTTACTTGGCTTTTCTTTTCTTTTCTTTTCTTTTTTTTTTTTTTTTTTTGAAAAACGTGTTAGCTTTATATTTTATACATGTTATGTAATATTGACATTTTTATTATTATAGTTTTTTTAAAAAAAAAAATATCATTTTAGATTATTAGGTTCAATAAATTTAAAAATTTCGTTATTTTTTTTTTGCCCAACAAATAATAAAAACAAAATGTTATCACAGAGACTTATTTTATTTTAAAGTAATGTACAAATTGGATATTTTTATTGTATATATATATATATAAAAATCGACTAATATTTTTTTTTTTTTTTGTAGTAATAGCTTTGTGTTTAATATGAAACATAAATAAATTTTTTTTACTACAACTAAAACTACCTTCTACTTATAAAATCTTATAAATTTAGGCAATTTATCCATTTTTGTGTACAAAAAAAAAAAAAAAAAAAGTTGTAAATAATGTTGGATATATATTTATATAACATTAAATTTTTAATATAATGAAAATATCATATTTTAACCTTCAATAAAAGAAATCAGAAAATACATTTACAAAGATTAAAAAAAGAATAAAATTTTTTTTTTTTTTTTTTTTTGGCAGTGTAATATAATGTTTTCTAATTACTAATGTGGTGGTATTAGTTGTTGTCTATCACTTTAAACCACTCCCTCAAAACAGGTATAAAAGTATTAAAGGAGGGTCTGATCCTCCTCCTACTATGCATAAAAAATCAACCTTGACACTAAATAAAAATTTTTAAATATTCAAATATACTCTTTAATTTAATATTAATATTATTAAAAAGTCGTTTTTTAGTATTTGAATTTAATTTTTAAATTATTTTTCCAAAAAAAAAAAAAAATGAATTTAAGTTTTTTTTTATTTCTTTTAAATCGAGTATTTAATTATTGTACAAAGTATAATTTAATTATTAATTCGATAAATTTTTGAAGTTGATATTTTAAATTTAAATTAATATTATGTTTTTACTCTATTAACTTTTAATTAAAATAATATTAATAATTTCATAAATATTTTTCATTCTTCATAACAATATCACTGTATAGAATTTCTATTATATTTTTTAAAAAATTTTATCTATCGAATCAATACAAATTATGAAAATGTCATACAATACATTAATATATATTAAATACTAATATATATAAATATATTAAATACTGCTTTTTTTAAACATTATCTTACTCAGCATATGTTTCCATTATAACTATTTTTTTACTCTATATGTATATAAGACATTTTATGATTTATAAAAATTAAAGTAAAAACTTTTGATGATTTATCAGATAATGTAAGATGTACTAATTTTAAAAAATAACGTTACTGTATTATTTTAGTGTTTGTAATTCATTAAATTTTTTTTAATTAAGTTAATTTTTACCTTTCTGAAGAAAATACAATGTTAATTGGATGATAAAAATAAAATTTTTAAATATTCTTTTAGTTTTAAGTTTTAAATATGTATTGTTCGGTGTTTAAGAAGACATTAAATGTAATAAATTTATTACATTTTTAAGCAATAAAATAAATAAATATACAAAGTAATTGAAAAACTAAAGCGGTGGATTTTCAAAAAAGCAATATTTAGTTGTAATTAAATATAAAATTTTATTACCTATTATTAATTATTGAAAACAGATACATTTTTCAATCTTCAACAATTGTAAAACTTTTAGTTCCTGTCAAAATGTCGTGGCAGAATACTAAATAATGTCGTCTGCTCTGGCAAAATATAGTTTCTAATGTACGAAAAAACATTTTCTTAGTAAAAAAAAAAAAATGTCAGAAGATAATAAGGATAATACCGATCCAGAAACGTTAAAAGTAGAAAATCTTGCTATAGAAGATAAAAATGCTGCAGCGGGAGATGAACAGGCTGCAACCAAAACTGATAAACAAAAAAGTGAAGTGTTAATTTTTTTGCATGATTTTTTTGTGTTAGTTTTCATATTTGAAAATAAATCATTTAATTTTTTTTAACAGAATTTTACAGTGTAAAAAATTTTATTTTATTTTTCTTTTTACAGTTGATGTGCTTTTAAAAGCGACAGGAAATGCACCAATAATGAAAAAAAAGAAATGGTCGGTGGATAATGAAAAAAAAATTGGTTCAGTTGTAGAATTCATAAAAAAATATTTAAGGCTTGAACCATCAGAAAATCTTGTAAGTACCTTTAAATTTTTTTTTTTTTTTTTGCATAAATAATGTAACAAAATAACTGTTTAAATTATTTATATATATTTAAATGTAATTAATTTTAGTTTTTATATGTTAATCAATGTTTTGCACCATCTCCAGATCAAACGATTAAAAATTTATATGACTGTTTTGGCTCTGATGGAAAACTAGTTCTTCATTATTGTAAAACTCAAGCATGGGGATAAGTAAATCACAAAAGTTTTAAATTGAGATTCTTTTTTTTATAAGTTACCAACTTAATTAAAGATATATTTAAATTATTATTATTTTAAAAGCATTCCGAATTAAAATAAGAATAATATTTAATCGAAAAGTCTTTCATGGCTTATATTGTTTAACCATAATAATTTTTGATACTGTGTGAGGTTAAAATGAAAAATAATTATGTAGTGATTTGATAATATTTACTGTAAATTGTATGAAAGCTTTTAAAAATTGTGAATCTAATCATTAGTAAATTAATAATAAAATTTATTTATTTAATAATTATAAAAATGCAATTTTTATTTTTACTGAATTTTGTCACTTAAATGTATTATAACTTAAGTTTTTTTTATGATGTTAAATTTTTATTTTATCACATTAATAACTTAATAAATATTAAAAAAAAAAAAAAAAAAATACAAAATTGAAAAACAATTTATTAAAAATATTAAATGCCATAAACAATATAAAAGCTACCCGAACCCGAAAAATAAATATTTTTACATTTATTAAAATCATTAAAGCATTAAATAATAAATAATTTATGTTCTAATATAATAATGGAAACCAAATGTGTTAATTTATACATTAAAAATGCAATCCATAAATTTTTATGCGTTCAACCAATCATTAACTAGGCTTGCAATTTCTTTTGATTCTTTAAGTACAAAAGTGTGTTCATGCGAGCAAACTTCAGCGAAAACATTTTTATGTTTTTCTCTCAAGTTTCTGTAATAGGTCAAAGGAGTCCATCCATCGGAAGAACCATAATACAATGTTAATTTTTCACCATAAATTTTTAACGTTTCATCGTCTAATTCTTTAATGATTTTCATTTCATCATCGGCCAAGAAAAAAACTTTACTTAAAACATGCGGATCAACAAGTTTCATCATTGCTGGTATATTATTCGGAGGTATACCAGTACAAAAGCAATAACATCTTAACAAAACAATTTGTAAAAATTTTGGAAGTATTGTAAAAATCCAACTCCCGAATAGAGTAAGCCATAAAATATAATTAATTACAAACATAACATAAGCAGCATTTGGAGCTTCAGCCATTCTTTCGATTGTTGGAAAAAGCATGATACATTTTTCAATTTCCACATTGCTTTTCCTTTCTTTTTTTAAAAGGTCTAACAACATTTTACAACCTACAGAATGTCCTACACAATATAACTTGACTCCTTCTAAATATTTTTCAATAAATTTGTCTTTTTGTTCAACTTGTCCTTGAAGATTATATAAGAATTTGTTTTCTTTCAATGATGGTAATTTACTATTTATTTTGTCATGACCTCCATGCGACATAATCCATATTGGTTTTTTAGTTAACTCATATAAATGATTTAAAAATTTTTCATAAAATTTTGTTACTCCAGGATTACCTGGTATTACTAATATTAATTCATTTGGTTTTTCTTGCAATTTAGCTTCTATTTTTGATGGCATGTAACCACCCCAAGAATCAATTCTCAAAGGAACTCTATTAATCGTCACAAACTCTGACTCCATTTTTACCTAAAAAAAATTTAAAATTAACTTTTTTTACAAAATGAACATGCAAACTACAATAAAATTACAATTATTTAAACATTAAAAAATGTGAAATAAAATTACGAAAAAATTTTTTTTTTAATTTACCCTTTGTTTCGATTTTACTGTTTTTCGTTGTTTTTTTTGGTTGATACTAATTAAGTTTCTATACATTTTAAAAAATTATATTAAAGAAGTAATTTATAATTTTTAATTTGAAAAAAAAAAAATTTGCAAAAAATGTACACTACCTTCACGACAATCTCACAGATAATTGTAAAAACATTTTTATAAATTATTTGCACAAAACATACTAACTAAAAAACTTAAAAAATAGTTTAAAATAAAAAAAATGGAAGGAGAAAGTACATGACAAAGCAAAAAGGTCATAGAAAGTTTATTATTCCTTATAAGTAATATAAAAAAAAAAAAAAAACATTGAATGTACAAATAATAATAAGTATAATTTAAAAAATTTTAATGATAGCAAACAAAAATAATTTTTCTTTTATAAAAAATCTCACATTAAATTTAACGTAAAAACGGTTAAATTACATGTTAATAGATAAAAAGGAAAAACTTGTTTGAAGTTTCAAAGGGTAAAATAAATTGAATATTTCGCATAATCATTAATTACGCGTGAATAGAAAAATTCTATAATTTATTTTTTTATTAAAATGGATGCTAATTAATTTTTATTACCTGCTTAAAGTTGCAAATAAATTGTTGTTAAATTTGTGAAAGTAAAATCTATCATAACTTTGCAATTGTAAATTTAAAAGAAAAAAAAAATAATTATTTTTTCACTAATTGATTTCCGTAAAAAAAAAAATGATGACGATTATAAAAAAAAAAACTAAACACGAATATTTTTTAAATTAAAAATCGATAATTACATATTAAATCACTTACCGTATTTTAATTACATTATATTTTTATAAAAATTATCATTTTTAACACTTGATTTAAAAACTGTCAATGTTACCAACTCTAATTTTTTTTTTGTTAAGTTTCCCGCCAAATTTTACTTACACGTCCATATTTTTTTTTTTTAAGTTAGTAATCGTTTACTAAAGTTAAACTCAGATGTAAAATGATTAATTATTAAACATTTTACATTTTTTTTTTCTTTTTGGACCGGGTATTAGAATATTTAATGGTGATACTTTAATAATAATTAATAGTTAAGTAGTAAACATATATTATAGTTCGTAAATGTGAAATTTATTGTTGGAAAAGAAAGTCTAACGACGAAAAAAGAAAGTAAGTAAAACAATTTAGGAATAATAATAATAATTTTAAAGAAATTATTTTAAAAAATTACTCATGATAGTAAATGTAAAAAAAGTAAAAACATTTCTTTAAAAAAATTTATAATTAAGCATTATTTACAATAAAAAATCTTTTGTACAGTTGTGAACTTATGGAGAGAAAAAAAAATAAAAAAATAACATTTCATAAATTATTTATTAAATAACTAATACTTAAAATAAAATTTATTTTTAATAAATACAACTTTGATTGAAAAAGAAAAAATAAAAAAATAATTACAAACTGATAGTTTGTGACATAGTTAATGAACAATATTTAAAAAAGTAACTTTTACTTTTTTCTTTCATCTAAAAAAAAAAAAAAATTAAATAAAAACATTTTATTCAATGCATTTTTCGATAACAAAAATTTTTTTTTTAATAAAATCAAATTGAAAAAATTTTACTTAAAACTATTATGAGCAGTTTTTAAAATAATAATAATGATTAAAGAAAAGAAAAATTATTAAATTTTATCACAATTTGATGACCAGCATCGATTTCTTTCTGAACGAATCTATTATGAGTTGATAGGTAAACAATTAAAAAAAAAAAAAAAACAATTTTAGGAATGATACAAAAATTTGTAAATAAAATATTTGAATAAATAAATAAATAAAATATTTTAAATGATGATAATATACGATTGATAACCTAAAAAAAAAATTACATGATTATTTATTTAAATTGAATAATAATGTGTATTTAGTAAATAAAGCTTTTAAAAACTTTTTAATACCCTGCTTTAAAGCTTTATATGAAACAAAGGAACAACAACTTTAATAAAAAAAAAAAAAATTTATATTTTAATAGCTTGCATATGAATTCGAATTTAAATTTAAAATCAATAAATTGATATTCGATGATTATTAAATTTTAATTATTAGTTAAATTTACACAGAATTATATATCATCACATTCATGTTTTACATTTACCATGATTATTATTAACATTAAAAAAGATTTTTTTAATATATTGTAAAATTAATTATATATATATATATATATATATATATAAAAATTTTATACATTTACACATATATATATTGTTATATTCGGTTCGTTCTTTATTTTTGTAAGTAATGAACAAGCACTTAAAACTATCACAAAACTAATATTAATAAACAAGAACTTATTACAGCTAGACTAAAAATCAAATGAACCGACGCCAAGCGGTGTAGCTTGCCTATATTACTTTGGTCTTTCGTCAGTCAACTGTTTCGAACGAGCAACAATGGGAACTAGCAAACACTTGCAAATAAAATAAAAGAAGGAGTCTTTAGAAGCTTCGCTTCTAAAGAAGAACAATTCGAGTTCGTCGCCAGTCTTTTGTTTATAAAAATTTGAAAATGTGAATATTGAGTACGGGATCATAACACCTCCCCCCTTAAGACGGAAAACAATTATTTGAAAAAGAATTTGTTTTCTCCTCTTGTTTGGATTTGACAGCTTCCTATGTCGGGTTCTGAATGGTTCCGTCCAGGTTGAAACTCCTTGAGTAGTAGTAGGTGCTATGTCTTCTGTAGGGTAGACTGTTGTATCTCTTCACATTGGCTTCTTATCAGGAACATAATTT